GACTGGATCGGCGATTTTGTTGTCTGCACCCACATAGGAGATAAAGGCTTCAGGATCCGAGAGGACTCTGGCAGCAGCAAAAGACACCAATGGATATTACTGTTTGTACCAGGGAATTTGAGCAGAGCTTTGCACTGGCAATAAACATCGCAGCAAATACAGAGCAGGCTAAAGAGACTAGCTAGGGCTCCACACTGTATGTGGGAACATGATAAAAAACACCAGAGACCCGTGCACTCTCCAAACATCTCCAGTTCTCTTGGGCCACGGGGACCTAAAATCTTTGACTCTCTTATGAGGATAGCCCTGCTGGGAAAACTCTTGTGCACTCCCAGTTGCCCAAGGCTGCAGGACACCTCAGCTTTAGTAAGGAGAGCTCAGCTTAGAATCATAGAATGTTTAGGGTTGGAAGGGACCACTAGTGGTCATCTAGTCCAACCCCCCTGCAGTGAGCAGGGACACTGCTAACTAGATCAGGTTGCTCAGAGCCCCATCCAACCTGGCCTTGAATGTTCCCAGGGATGGGGCCTCCACTACCTCTCTGGGCAACCTGTTCCAGTGTTTTACCACCCTCATTGTAAAAAAAATTTCTTCCTAGCTTCTCCTGGAGATAAACAAAGCAAAGATGTATTATATCCATCATTTTCCGCAAATGCTTTGAACGTGCTGGGAAGTGTTCCTCTATCACCTTAAACAACTCTTACCTAGCAGTTTTCAACAAACAGCATTTAGACTCAGGTGGCAGTTTCTGAACTGCGGGAGAGCCTTTACCACAATGCCTGCCCAGAGCACAGGTGGTCACGAGGCACCCCACCACCCTCATTTGGTTTGCGCATTCCTTTACTGGGCACAACATTACCTCTGCAACACCTCCGGCTCCAAAGCTCAGAGGAATGACCCATACCTCTGCATCTCTGGGGAAAGCCATAAGCCAGCAACAGGAGCCATGAGCTCCTCCAGGAAAGCTTTCTGCCGCTCGTAGTCTTTGAACTGGTTGCTTATGAGGACGAGGGCCTCCATAAGAGCACACTTCTCCATCTGTGTCAGAAGTAGCTCATTGGAGAGCAGTTGCTTCACGTGGTTG